TTATATGCCCTAAAATGTATCTAGCATGAAAACGTACAGTATTGGTGCAGCTATAACCTCCAAATTTACTCATAAAATACTTCGTAATTACCAAAGAGACTTGGTACGGATAAAAACTGTACCAATTTCCATGATACCACTAGTGCAAATTATCAAAATTAAGCATCATTGGTGTCAATTATAGTAAGTCGATTTTTCAGCTCTCTTAAGCGAATTAGCACTATTTCTGCATTCATTTTGGTTTTCAGTTCTCATCTTCATTTTTTCATTTTTCGTTGGCAGCTTTATGTTTAATATTTCAAATTGCTTTTGTTTCTTCTTATGCCTGTCTGGAAAGTCTTGATAATGGGCGCTTGTTTTTGAGAACATGAGAAGAAACATGTCTACTGCTATTTCCAATTTGCATATTTTTGAAGCGATGGGAGTTTTTAATCAGTATTATCATTTTTTAGAATGGTGGAAGAATAATCTTTCCACCTGTTCTTACTAAGGTACTAAGAAGATACTACATAAGATACTGTTAAATATAAATAATATTATTTTTATTGTAATTGTTATTATTAATTTTTTTTACAAGGAGGTAAGTTTGTTTTTATGGAGCATGTTCATTTTCCGAAAACCACAGCAAGTTATCTAGTCCAACAGTTTGCTGCACCACTATGGGAAGTATATTTTTACGGATGCTACTTAGATCAAAACACTGCGGATTCAATAAACAAAGCTGGATTTACAGCTGTGCATTATGATGATACATATTTGCCTACTTAACCATTGTTTTTTCGATCACACATTTCTGGAATCGCCACAAAATAAAATGACGGAATTAGTTTCTTTAGTCAGCTGCAGAAATTTTGACAATGATGCAACTCATTTGCTGATTCGGTAGGGAGGCTTCAATTTCCCGAAGAAAGTCGTTAGGGTTAGAAATGAACACAATAAAATTTTGTATTGCTGTGTTAAGCATGTTTTGTTTCATTTATTTTCCTCAAATGTAAATATGTACAAATGTAAATATGTTTATCAAATGTAAATATGTACAAACTTTCAATAAATTTTATAAAATGTTGACTACTTTTAATAAGAACACCATATTATAAGTATAGGGGGTTCCGTAACAACCTCCCTTAAAATATTTTCTTCAGAATCGCTTAAAAACAAGGAATGAAATAATTAAGTTCTTTTTTGATCATAAATAAAAATTTAAGGGTGAAAGAACAAAAAGTTCTTCTTAGCGAGCTCTTTCCAATCATTATTGAGGTAAATAATGATGCGATGGTTTAAAATAATATATAAATAGTTTTTGTAGAATATATATATATANTGTGTGTGTGTGTGTGTGTGTGTGTGTGTGTGTGTGTGTGTGTGTGTACGTGTGTATGTGTGTGTGTGTGTGTGTGTGTATGCGCGCGTGCATGTATGTTTATTTTGAAAAGTAACGAATAAAAAATACAAGCAAACATAGTAATATATTAATTAGCTGAACAAATTTGATAAATATTATATTTTTGGTTTTTAGAAATAAATAAAATAATAAAAAATATATATTCTTATACCTATTCTTTGCGACCTCTAATGTGTGCATTTTCTTTACTTCACGGCAAAGATTAGAAACTAACATTGATGATAACAGAACCTTCTGTATTTTTTAGCACTTAAAAGGCGTTTATTTCTACAGTTTTTAAACAGGGAGTGAGCAAAGTAATGGAAACACGTCAGTAGGGGAAAAATGAGTGCTACACCACATTTTTAGGGTTGATGACCTCTCTTACTATAGTGCTATGCGATGAGCGCTTCACCTCACTTCGAATCAGTGACCTATCATCGACAATATGAGGAATACACCCTAATTCCTCAGTATGGATGAGAGTTTAACCCCACTGATAAGCTCTTATTAGGGATGAAGTAGCATGACTATTTACGTAGCATCGTTTGGACTAAGCAAATGCTTCTTAACACTAGAAAGACGGAAAATTAGTATATACCTATATTGCCTAAAAGCAGTCAAAATGACTAGATTGTGAATGCGTAAGTAAATTTGTTTAAAATTTTTTATATTACTTACAGTTATCTGACAAGTTATTAGTAGATATTAACAATAAAAAAATTATATGTTGTACAAAAAATCACAAAATTCTAAGAAATTGTGTCATTATATACATCATTGTTTTTCTAATTGAAATAAAAAGCAGTCAAAATGACTTCCATAGGCAATCTAGTGTTAAAAATTTTGAGTATATATTTCTTTACAACTATGGTATATTTGAAAAATTTGCCTCTACTTTTTACAAACAAATTTCAAATGAATTCCTCATTGTAAAGAACTACAAAAAAATTCGCCAAGTGTCCTTCATTATGTTATTCAAATATATGCTCTTAACGTCACATGGTTTAGACTAAACAAATGCTTCTTAAAATTTTTTTAGTATTTATTTCGTCACAACTATGAGTATTTTTAAATATTTGACGCTTACTTTGTAATCTGAAACACGTTTCAAAAGAATTCTTCATTGCAAAAGGAAAAAAAAAATCGCAATTTATCCTCAATTATGTTAACTATATTAATGCGCTTAACTTAGCATGATTTGGACTAAACAAATATCAATATGTATCAAGAAATAAGTTATCAAATTTTTTAAGAAGGATTTGTTTACTCCAAACAATACTACCCAAGTCAAAAATTTTTCTGGTTTTCCATTGATGGTCTAAGATTATATTGATGGTAACCATCAATAATCTCATCTTGAACCAGTATATTTTTTGTTATAAACCAACATAAGTAACCATCATCCCAAAGTAGGAATTCAAACTGATCTATGATGGGCCAACGTAAAAAACTTGTTTTGATGGTATATTCCATCAAATCAATATGGTTTTTCCCATTAAACCATCATGGAAATGTACAGTTGGAACCATCATGGATGATCATGAAATGTTGGACCATGAGAATCAAACTCCGCTTTATGGTTAACCGTCATAGTATTAAAGTAGCATTTTCCATCATAGAATGATGGAAGTTTGCTGGCATATCAAAAACTATGCGCGCATAAAGGAAAATGTTGGATGATGATGACCATCAAATGATGTTGGACCATCATGAATCGCGCTGAAACGAGCATAAACCATCAATATGATTTGTTGGGATCATCATGAATTTTGACTCGGGTACGTTAAGAGCATATTTATAGTTAGCATATTGGAGGACATTTTGCAATTCATTGATATGACATCGTCATTGATACTCTGACCGATCGGTGTACGCGCAAGAGTCCTGTTTCGTGGCACCCGAATGGTGAGGTTAATGATTTAGCATCTGCTCTCCAAGTGTTCGCCAAATTGGTCACCAAATCATTATACTGAAAAGAAATAGTTGTTTTCAGGGGCCCCCATCGGGGGGGGGGGAGGTGGGCGCACGATGCGCCCACTTAAAGCTTGGGGGGGGATTTTTACACTAAATAAAACGAATAGTTTGGGGGGGGGAATTTAGACGAGAGAATTTTTTTTTAAGTGCCGAACTTGGGATTTTTCAAGTGTTGTTATTCAGTATTATGTTTATTTCACGTTAAAAATGTGTGGAATTTGAAGATAGAAGTCTCTTCTATTACTTACAATTTTTTCATTATCAG